AAGGAGTTTCTTGCTGGTTGTGACCCTTGGACTCTCAGAAAAAACTTCAAGGATAGCCCTTGGGTCTGTACCTGTTCAGTAATGCCTAGCAAAATACTGGGCTTCTTTGATCTAACCATGTCTATGGGCTGGGCCAGAGTACCAAAAGCAGAGTGCCAGAACACAGGTGGCAAACAGACATGCAAGCCTGTGTCTATTACAAAGAAATGCAAAATTACCTAGGTTTTATCCATCCTCTCACGCCCACCTTGAATCTCTGCAGGATTCTTCCCAAGTGTTCAGAATCTACAAAAGAATCAGCCAAGCAATGGAGATATGGGTTACAACAGGGCACAAAGTACTGTTTCCCATATGTTTCCACTAAGAGAAAGAAAGAGAGAGGGAACTTTCACTGCCATCTGACTTCTAACACAAGTCAGAACCCTCTCTGTGCCTCAAGAGAGACTTCACATCAGTCCAGTGCCATGCATTTTGCCTTGGGTCTCTGAACATTAGCCTGTCCTCTGTGCCTGGGGCTCTTAGGTTCTTAAGGACATTATAATGTAGACTCAGCCACAGGCCCAGGCTCCCACAGGAAAGCACTTTTAAGTTCACCTTCTCTTCATACCCAGAGGTCAACAGCAGCTACCAGCAGAGGTTAGCAGGGCAAGAAACTCAAAGCTGTTTCCAGACTACCCACAGGGAATGTTATCAAGGTGATTCCACGTTCCCACTGTGCGAAGTCTGCGTGCTCAATTCAGGGGCCAAGTCATCAGTATTTCCACTCAGAGTCAGTTTCCAGTCTCCCAAATTACCTTAGGCATTTTAGGAATTAAATTATTTCCCTCCCATATCAGAATTTAGGAACTGGGGTACGAAGCACTATCAAATTATTAAACATGTAGATCGTTTCCACAGTTAATTTAAGTTAATTCTTGGTGTCTGCAGATAGATGCATTATCTTCCTTTGCTTAAAACCACTTCAGGAAGGCCACAAGATCATGGAAACATGAACTCATCTTTGGCCATAGCTTATTCACTTCTCTCCATGGAAATTAAAAGGCAAGGGAGAAAAAACAAGCTAATGGGTCTTTCATACCTGCAAGTGTTTGGTCAGGCTGCACTTACAGGCATTTATTACTAACCCATCAATAGTAGACCCCCAAAGGATTAAGAATTAGGGAGCAGAAATCTCCAACCATTACTGAAGAATTTATGAACTAACAAAACATTGAATGTGAATTTTTTTTACAGTGCCTGGGCTTGAGGATGTTGTGGATAGAGATGCAGAGAATGGATCCCTTCTCCATCCATTCTCATTTTTCTGAAATCTGAACAAGATGAATGATTTCCTTGGCTGTAAACAGCAGTTAAAGATAATATACCAAAATCAACTACAAAGGGAAAGAGCAGTTTTATTTCTGATCTTAATTAAAGACAAATGTAGCATGTGCTCAGCAAATGGCACAATGTGACATTCTGGAGGCAAGGATTGGGCATATAGCAGTGAAAGAAAAAGACAAAACTCCTGCCCTAGTGGGGCTTACACTCCAGTTCCCACGGATCTTTTTATCTTCTCAAGGTAGCCCACCTCCTTCCATTCTTACCAGGGCCTTCCCTCCAATGTCCACTGCCAATGGTTTAAGTCACTCTGAAAATAGAAAAGATATTCCTGCTGAGAAGTCTCCCACCTCCACCCTTCCCTTCAAACATTTTTAGGCTCCAAACCTGCAGATAGCAGCCCACCAGTGTCCCAGCACTGAGGCAAGGGAAAAGCCTATCCCAAAGAAGTGACTGGCAGGTCCTTTTCCCACCTGAGATGGGGTAAGGAGAGGGTCTGCTCCTGCTGAGGATGGGGGAGAGGGAAGGTGCTGGGTAAAAAAGAGAAAAAAAACGGGCAGTGATGGGGGAAGTCTGCCTTCCTTGGAGGCAGCCAACAGTCCTTTGATCAAAGCCCCATCCCCAGGTTGCCTGCCCAGGAGATCCACAACCCCCTCCCTCTTCTCACCAGGCTGGAGAGAGATGCACATTCTGGAGCTAGCCGGCTAAGGCAAAGAGTGCCACAGCCATTATGGTCCCAGCAGCTGGATGTTCACACCCCCTTGCCCTGCGAACTCCCTAGAGGCAGAAATGCACCTCCTGTACATTCAACCCCCCCCAAAAAAAAGAATGCCAAAAAACTACATGTGCAAGAGCTGAGAGAAAATTTAGGTGTCCATTCAGATCAGCCTCTTTTTACAGGCAAAGGAGATCCAAACCGCAGCCCCTCACCTGGTCATGTTTAAGTGGCAGCAGGGCCCAGTATGTTGCCCAATTTTCTTCTCTGCTCTCTGAACAATATTCCTATCAACAGTTCATTGGAACTTCCCAGACTAACATGAGAACCGCACCCCCCCACCCCACCCCACCCCACCCCCACCCCCCCCACCCCCGCACCTGGGCTGGGGAATCTCGGGAGGGAGGGGGAGGGGAGATAGGAGGACGCTGCAGAACCAGGGTGGAGGAAGCCATGGGGATCCCGGGAGGAGGACAGCCAGCCGAGGTGAGTGTTGCTGCAAATCTGGAGGTGTCTGGGCTGCATCAGGGTCACGGGTTCGGTAGTAGCTGTGTGACTTCAAACCTGTGGGACAGCACACCTGTGCGGTCTCTAAGATGGAACTGGGTGATGGCTGGGCACCTTGACGCTGGAGTGTCTTAGTGGTCTCCCTTAGACTCTGCAGCCAACCTGGGCCCCCACCTCAACTCGCCTGGGCTTATCTCACTCAAAAAATAGGTCTTCTCCTCTTGCCCTCCCCACCTCCAGAGTTCAAACGAGGATGACATTCATTGTGCGTGTCTTTTATCACTAGCCAAATCGCTGCCCCTTTACCTGGCTGCTATCCTGCCCCAGGCCACTCCCCCGCTCCAGGTCCAAGGGACTATATAAACTCCTAGGGCTAGAGTGAGCAAATCCCCTAGAGGGAGGCTCATCTCTGGGCAAGAATCCATTCCCCACCCCATTCCCAACTCAAACACGCAATAAACGTCAGTCTAATCTCCAAATCATCATTCTCCAAACACAAAAATAACAGAACCGCCGGTGGGTCTGTCATTTTGCCCGCCCCATTCTAAATGCCTTAAAAACTGCCTGAATAAAGATAAGACAGGATTGTGTACGTTTTCTACACAAATGGTGGAAAGTAATAAAATAAACATCAAAGGTGAGCTTCCACGTACTCGCAGCTCCGTCCTATTTCCAACAAAGGCAGGAAAAAGGAGGAAACCTCAACGTGGAAGGGCAGCGGGTTACAACTGCACCCTTCTGGGGCGGGGGGGCGGTGGTCCATGGAGCCCCGTCCCTGGGGTATTGACACCGTGTAGGCCCAACCGACCTGCGGCAGAAAAAGGTCCCCCCTTTCCCGACGTCCGAAACCACAGCAAAATCCCTCAAGGGGAAAAATTGGGAAGAAATGGTCATAAACACATCGTGCTCTCGGCCCCCGCCCCCTGGAACACACCCTCCCTTTCGTTCCTGTTGATAGTCGGAACCGGGAATAGCACGTCCCCCGCTTCGCCCGCGTCTGACGGATTCCGCAGGGGTACACACGCAGGCAGAGCCTGGCACCCTGAGCCACACACAGCCGCCCCAGGGAAAGAGGGCAACACTGCTGTTCTTACC